CTGAAACAAATATAAATGAAGTAAAAGAAATATGTAGCTATGGGAGGGATTTCTCTCCCCCACCCGTGCCAAATTTCTTATTTTTCTTTATTTTTCTTTTAAATTGTTACTTATTTACACTAAGATTTGACTCTCCTCTGGTGTCTACTGAGATAAAGCTCAAACAGATCAAGAGAAATGCAAAAATGATTTACAAAAGTGAAATCAGCAAAATATTCACAGCAGTAAAAAGAAAGCTGATGGGAAGAAAGGAGGGAAAATAAACACAATTGAAGTAGGTAGACAGTGAACTGTCTCCCATCAGCCCTACCTTCATGAATTCTGTTCAACGAATGAATAGATGCGTGGAAAGGTAAGTATGTAAATGGTGTTCAATAAACATACTTTAAACTCATATATAAATTAATTTGAAACTTACATTATGGAAAAAGTTGTTTGTATATGAAATCTTCTGCAACTGTGAATTAGAGGAGTAAAATTTTTTTTACAGTATGACTCGAAACAACAAAAAATAGTTAGCTCAAGCATTTGAAGAAATTCTGTTTTGTGATTATTAATGCTGTGGCTTGTTTCTACCATACTATGGTTTATGACTATTTTATTTTAATTATCTAGGCAGTTTCCCAGATATTTTGAAAGAGCTCATAAATATGTGAATCTATTTACCATTTTAGCTTTAAACAATGAGACTCAATCCACAAGGTCATCTAACATTCTTCTACCATTCCTTGCTCCCTAAAATACACCATATGTTTAATGTCTTTTATTCCATCACATTGAAGGTATAAATGGCATTTTGCTGGATCACAGAAATGATGTCCCTATTATATTCTCTCATCAGATTACTGACACCATAAACTGTAATGGCTTCTTCAGCACTATTAACGTATCTGGCATCAGCCTATATTGGGAAAGTCCTTAATCCTGCAAATGGTTGTTAATAACTTACATTCGCACAGAGCATTTTCATCTCAATCTTAAAGTAATATATATACAGAAAGTGGGAATCCATCCACTGCTGCAAAGACAGCCATTTATAAAATGGAATGCAACAGCTGGATAGCTACTACTCTGTCACAAAGCCAGAGATGAATATTGTATTTAATATATACTGAATTAGGCTTCTGAAATTTCCTCTCACTTTTAAGTGAAGGTTAAAACAGGTCACTGTGACCAATATTTCTTTATTTGCAAAAGGTAAAGCTACTGAATTTGATATTTCCCATTTTTCTGGTTCCTTTCTTAGACCTGAAGTGACATTTGAAGACATGCTGGATCTGACACCAAGAATTTTTACCCAGAGCATCCAGAAAGAATGTCATCAAAGAGTTAAAAAAAAAAAAAAAAGAAAAGAAAAGAAAAAGAGAGAGCAAAAGCTGAGAAACAAAGCCAGAATGTAAAACTATAGAACAGTACCAACAATAAGGAGGACAGAGCAGACAAGAATCAAGCCAGGAAGAGAAACAAATCAGAAAGTTTTATTGACAGTAGGTCAAGGCAAAGAATTTAGGATGCTAGCAATGAACAAGAGAGTACGAGTGTGGAAGACTCTATCGGTTGCTTACACTATGGTGCTTGAGTACAACAGTGCCCATTCTGTGACCTGTACTCAAGAATGGAAATATCGTATTGATCAATGATTATTATTTTTTATTTTAACATGGAATCTCCTCTGTTTTATGTGGTAAAAGTACATTGATTTCAAGGTATCCTAGCAATCAATCCATATGAACTATGAATAAATTACTTTTAAATTAATTTTTGGTGGTTATTCTAGTCTCTCCTGTGAGTGTAGAGAAAACATCAGGCCTCTGGTTAAAATTAAACAAACACAAACACACACTGAGTTTTCTAATCGCAACTAAACCAGAACATTGCTCTTCTGAAAAGAACATTGGACTTAGAAGCAAAAGATTTGATTTTGAATTTGAGCTCTGTCATTTCACAGCTATGTGATTTGGACAACGATTTGAGGTCTGAACATTCTCATATGAAAAGTGAAGACAGCAGTACCTAGCTCAGGTTATTATATCAAGACTTGAATTAATGTATATAAAAGATCCTTGGAAAAATTAAGCTCTACCATGTAAATATGAGAGATTACTAATGGCTTGACTAGTGACATATTTCTTTACTTAACCTCAGATCGCTAATCTGTATGACCTTAAATACTGGATATAACCTGAAATAGAAATGTAAATATACTGAGATGAGTTGTTTCCGAAATATCAGAAAAAAATTTTCTTGAATATGCTTATTAATGGTGAGATCTTTTAATATTTATGGCTTTATTCTTGGAAGATTAAATTACTAATATATACCACATAAAATTTTAGAGTGGAAATACATGAGACCTCTTGACCTTTAAAAGATTTACATGACTGCTAATGAGAATATGTGAAATATATAACAGTCTATTAGAAAATCATTTGGTCTATCTTCATGTCTGATTCATCAAGCAAATGTTGATTAAAAAAGGGTCAAGATCAAGGGATATTTTTCTGATTAACAATAAAAAGATACTTAAAGATTTATTATTTAGAAATCTCTAGGACAAAATTGTATAAACAATGAAAATTTCTAACATCGAGAACTCTTACAATATAGTGAGCTTCTCTCTTCCTAGTTGATTGTATTTCTTTGCATAATCCTTTTATGTTGGAGACTCTCCGTTCATCTAAGATAACTTAATGGGGTTATAGCCTGAGGAGCGAGTGCAGCTGAAGCACTAACTTCATTAGTTTCTTGACACTACCTGTCAGAATTCTGGCTCCAGACCAATACAAGGTAAATTTAGACTGAAAAATAAGGTTACAAATAAGGTTGCAAATGAACATGTTTGGAGAAGAGACTGGTGGCTAAACTTCTTTTATATGAAACTGTGATAATACATGGTTGAGGGCTTAAGTGCTCATAAAATTCTTAATAAACTATATATATCCAAACTAGATTGGAGATTGCTTTGAGAGAGAAAGTAAATAAGCTTTTCTTTTTATTACCAAAAATACAGAGGTGAGCAGGAATAAATAACCCCTTACTCCATCCACAACACACAAACCCTTTATCAACATTCTAGTTAATTAAATACATTATAACATCAGCCGTGAAAGCTACACAAAGCCAATTCTAATATTTTTTTATATTTTTGCTACAAGAACGACACCTATATGGCACATTTAAATTTTTTTCTTGATTAAAAAAATATATATATATTGTGACTTAAAACTCTTTCTTAGCTGATAAGTATTATCTCTTATGTTCCTGTAGTACATTATTTCGAATACCAAAACACATGAACTCTATGCATGCAAATCTAGAGATGGTATGTAGTTGAGTGATCACTAAATTATTCCTCATACCAGGATACCTTTGGTAGTGCAAGGGCAACAGGCATAAACCAAGATTGTATGGACACCTAGGGAAGTCAGTGTCAGTGCCTACGGTGCTGAAAAGTTCAGCCCCAGATTTATGTGCATTTAAAAAATATTTTATTGTGCAGTAGCTATCTCTATCTCAACCTATCTCTATCTCTATCTCTATCTATCTCTATCTCAATCTCTATCATCTATCTATGCATATCAACAAGGCAATTCAAAGATTTTTATAGAGTATACTGTGTCTAATGACTCAACATATTATATATAATGTGAAATTGAATTTTCACCATATACTGCTAATAATAAACAAATGAACCATTATAGAGTTTCTCATTTTTCTGTTCTGATGGGCTCTTAATAAGTACATATTTAAAATAAGTTCTGATTCCTTTACTTGCTTGGAATTTTTTTATTTTTAGTGAATTATTTATTCAGGGAACAATGATTACTTATTCTTAAGGAGCCTAAATCCTTCTCTCCTGAAAGCACAATGCTGAATTTTAAAAATCAAATTAAAAAGTCCCATAATGATGTACAAATAAAAAGAATATTTTTTCACTTTTGATGGCATTTCCTCATATTTAATAAAATGGGTAATCATGAACTAAAAGAAATGAATCAAATTTGTCAGACAAGATAATTAACTTCTCTGTTTCACCTCTCTCTCTTCTGTAAGGATTATTAATATTAAGACTATAAGACTTGTAAAGGTATGAGAGCAATAACAAAATCTCTCTCATAAGGTAGTTATGAAGATTAAGTTAGATACTATACATAAAGCACTTAGACTAGTGCCTGGAAAATATTGCTTAGAAAACATTACATTTGATGTGTCCCAATTCAACTCTTCTCTTCTATAACTGAATTTTGAAACAATAAAAAATAAGACAGAGAATTCACTGATAAAGGCCAGAATCACTTTTATTACTTATAAAAGGCAAAACTGAAAGATTTAACTTACATCTGTAGACAAGTGAGCTTTTTGATATATATCTCCCAAGACATCACTGAACCTATAAGACTTATGGTATGCAAGAACAGAAGTAAACACATACACTCTATGGGCAGGATTGCTCCCAAGAAGTAGGGAAGAGAAATGACCAGGTGATTATATCATCCAGACTAAGCTAGGTTTATTTCTGGCCCACATGACATTTTCAAGTATGGTCAGCCTTAGGGATATGCCTCACATGCATTTCACTTTAGGACTCAAGCCAATAGAGTAACTAATATCTGGAACACTGTGTATGACTATGATAATGGTGAAGGGAGCTTGGTGAAACACACCCTAGCTGTTAAATTCCTTACAAAAAATAACACATCAGTTTTTATCACACTATATTGAGAAGAACAAGCCATATGGTCAAGCTTAAACTTAAGCAGGCAGAGAAGTTTGATCCTGCTATATGAAGAAATAGGAAAAAAAAAGCATATTTGTGAATCGCCCTACAAACTCTCAAAGTTTTCTCTCCTTGTCTTTAAATATTTGGTTCACTCTTTTTATACACAAATAAACTCACCTATTTCCCAAGGAAGGCAACCCCAAAGTCCTTATAGTCAAAGAATCAAGTTAAAGGATAATGTGAAAAGCCTATATATCAGGCCTAGATATGACTCTGCTTGATCCAGACAACTATGAAGTACAAAGATAAGTTATTTTTCCATGTCCTCACCCCCATATACAATATAAAATTGTAGGCCATAAATAGGACAACCTTAACATTCCCCCTCAGAAAGGGGTAGAATGGAGGATAGAGACATCCTGCTATCACTAGCTCATAGCAATTCTAAATCCCACTGGGCAGATGTCAGATGAACCCCTTTCCCTGACAAAGATAATATTCCTGGACTATACCTCAACTTTGATCCATGGAAAAGACACCATAATCCCATTTCTATGACACTTGGTGCTGCCTTCTGGAGAGATCCTCTTTGTTTTTCATCCTCTTTGACAACATCTGAAGAGGACATTGGAGAACAAGCCCTCTTGGGATGCAGAGCAGCTGCTTCAGCTTGCTTCCTGCTCATAGAAAGCTAGGATTCCAAAAATATTTTTTTCTAAGTCTCGAAGAGTCAGAAACTACTTTTAGTATTGTTTCATAGTTTACCAGACAGTATAATTCTCCAGAAAATCACCTATTTTCTAATTATTCTAATAAGATTCATGTCTAATACCCAAGACTGAAGGCTTTTTTTTTTTCAAAGCATGCCTCTTTCTTTGAGCTTTAAGTACTTTGAGCTTATTAAACTCAATGGTGAGAACCACACCATTAACCTTTATTCCCTGAGACATATTTTCTAACTGGGTACTACATTAACCTATTTTTTTTCAGGTTTTAACACTGATGGCTAAAAGTCTTGATTTTATTTTTACTAGCAAGGCTGAGTTTTATTAGCCTTTCAGCTTTGTCATTCAAGGAGATTCTCAGACTTATATTTTGCCTATTGAAGAAAGAAGTACTCTTGTTATTCTATAAGTTCCTTCTCTATTTTCATTCTTTCTTGCAAACTAGTTAGTCCATTCTGACATTGTAGTATCTTTTCAAATGCAATAAACAGTAAGCAACATGTAGTATTAATGTTCTTTTTTCTAATCTCCTCATTAAGAACTATAAGCTAATTGGATACCTATCTACCTTTTGAGTTATTGTAGGTGATGCTTTTCAACAAATATGCCATTGAATAACATGGATCACAATATTTTCAGGTTTGCATCAATTAAGATAGGTTACATTATCACATAGTAGCAAATCTTTCCAATCACAAGGACTCATGCTATCTGTCCATCAAGGCTTGTTTGGGGGTCTGTGCTCTAGTCCATTCTATTTAATGATTCAGGCAACTGGAGCAGACCCTATCTAGTCCTTATGGCAGGGGAAAGAATCATTGGCCTAACTTCATTTGCATGGAGAAATGTAACCCTCTTGTGTATCTGACAGGAGAGAATAGCCCTAAGAACTTTACAGCTACTCATGCCCAAGTTCTTCTTCCAACTCACTGAAGGGATTATGTCTCTATTCCCTGGGAATGAATGAATGAATGAATATTTTATTTAATATTACCAAATTTTGTCCAGTTGAATTGACCGATAGAGCCCAGCAGAGAAAACACAGTATTTTGTGTTTCTTCCTTTTTCCATTCAGCATATTCTAATTTTAATTTCTCCTCTGAGCATCACTGTTTTGTCATCCCAGTGACATACTGACAATGGACTCTGTCTAATGACAGATTTAAATATTGCTTGTAAATGGTCATTTTCTCACTTTGTCACATGTACTTAACCTATAGACATTACACTTCAGACAATGTGGATAAGCCATTGGAATCCAAGTGTACTGTTCACAATATTCTCTTTGCCCTAAATGCTAAAAGCAACTTGAG